CAGTTAAGGCGTAAGATCTGCGAGGTGGTGGCCGAGGTTGCCAGGAATCTTATTGACGAGGAGTGTAACAACCAATGGCCGGACATCCTGCAGTTCCTCTTTCAGTGCGCCAACTCGCCGACGCCCCAACTGCAGGAATCGGCACTGCGGATCTTCTCCAGTGTGCCTTCGATATTTGGAAATCAGGAAACTCAGTACATCGATCTGATCAAGCAGATGCTGGCCAAGAGCATGGACGCTAGTTCTGACCCGGAAGTCCGCGTGCAGGCTGTGCGAGCCGTCGGAGCTTTCATTCTCTACCATGACAAAGAGAAGGAGACGGCCATCTACAAGCACTTTGCGGATATGCTGCCTCGCATGATCCATATAACTGGGGAGACAATCGAGGCCCAGGACGATCAGAGTCTGCTGAAGCTCCTCATCGAGATGACCGAGAACTGCCCGAAGTTCCTGCGCCCCCAGTTGGAGTTTATTTTTGAGGTCTGCATGAAGGTGTTTAGCTCGCAGGACTTCGAGGACAGCTGGCGGCACCTCGTCCTGGAGGTTATGGTCTCGCTTGCTGAGAACGCCCCTGCGATGGTGCGCAAGCGGGCGGATAAATACATCGTGGCTCTGATTCCGCTGATACTGCATATGATGACCGATTTGGACGAGGACGAAAACTGGTCCACCGCGGATGTGGTCGATGAAGACGATCACAGCGACAACAACGTAATCGCCGAGTCCTCGCTAGATCGCCTCGCCTGCGGTTTGGGAGGAAAGGTGGTTCTTCCGCACGTAATGAACGCTCTGCCGGCTATGTTGGGCCATGCTGATTGGAAGCATCGCTTCGCCGCCCTCATGGCCATTTCGGCTATCGGTGAGGGCTGCCACAAGCAGATGGAGGCCATTTTAGATGAGGTCATGTCCGCAGTCTTGAACTTCCTGAGAGATCCCCATGCCCGCGTTCGCTACGCCGCCTGCAACGCCATCGGCCAAATGTCCACTGACTTTGCACCGACCTTTGAGAAGAAGTTCCACAGCCAGGTAAGTTTTATTTGAATTATCCCAGAATTAATTTATTTAATATTAACCGTTGGGGGTTATATACCTAATTTATGTATTGTTTTTTGTTTAACAATTAACATTAAAAGAAATCCCCAATTTATCCCCGTCAATACAATATTCGTATAAAAATTATGGTATTATTAGATCATTAAGCATATTTTCTGATCTTTGTGTTATTTGTATATTTAATTGTTTTGATATATATTTGGCAGAAGTTAATTGGAAATCTGTCTACAGTTTGGTGTCTTTAATGCGATATTTACAAACAGACAACACGAACAATATGTAAACAAGGTATTACGTGTAAATAAACAAGACTGTTGTAAAATATTTACTTTTTTCACACGAGCCTTACTATTTCAAATGCAAGACATGTGTTTATTTTTCGTATTAAACTTTTTTTTATTAAAAAAAATGAAATATTTATTTAAGGTTCAGAATTTTAATATTATATATTTAATTAGCCTGTAAAAGTTTTTGTAAAAAAGTTATAAGCATATTTCCCATTGTTTTCCAGGTGATTCCTGGTTTGTTGTCCCTCTTGGATGACGTGGATAATCCCCGAGTGCAAGCGCACGCCGGTGCCGCTCTGGTAAACTTCAGCGAGGACTGCCCGAAAAACATACTGACACGCTACCTGGACGGGATTATGTCCAAGCTGGAGACTATTCTAAACTCGAAATTCACTGAGCTGGTGGAGAAGGGGAACAAGTTGGTTCTGGAGCAGGTGGTGACCACCATTGCTTCAGTGGCGGATACCTGCGAAGCAGAGTTCGTGGCCTACTACGATCGCCTTATGCCATGCCTCAAGTTCATCATCCAGAATGCCAACTCGGACGATCTACGCATGCTGCGTGGCAAGACTATCGAGTGCGTCAGCTTGATAGGATTAGCGGTGGGCCGGGAAAAGTTCATCGGCGATGCCGGCGAGATCATGGACATGCTGTTGGTCAACCATACCGAGGGAGGAGAGCTAGCTGATGATGATCCGCAGACCTCCTACCTGATCACTGCCTGGGCCCGCATGTGCAAAATCCTTGGCAAGCAATTCGAGCAATATCTGCCCGTCGTTATGGGTCCCGTGATGCGAACAGCCACCATGAAGCCCGAGGTAGCGATGCTGGACAACGACGAGGTGGAGGATATTGAGGGAGATGTGGACTGGTCTTTCATTAATCTTGGAGAGCAGCAGAACTTTGCTATTCGCACCGCAGGCATGGATGATAAGGCTTCCGCCTGTGAGATGCTGGTCTGTTATGCTAGGGAACTGAAGGAAGGATTTGCCGAATACGCCGAGGAGGTGGTGCGTCAAATGCTGCCCATGCTTAAGTTCTACTTCCACGACGGTGTCCGCACAGCGGCTGCTGAGTCGTTGCCTTACCTTCTCGACTGTGCAAAGATCAAGGGTCCGCAGTATCTGGAGGGAATGTGGTTGTTCATCTGCCCGGAGCTGCTAAAGGTGATCAACACGGAACCGGAGCCAGAAGTGCAGTCGGAGCTGCTGAACTCGTTGGCCAAATGCATTGAGACCCTGGGACCTAATTGCCTTAACGAGGATGCCATGAAGCAGGTTCTGGAGATTATTAACAAGTATGTTTTGGAGCATTTCGAGCGGGCTGATAAACGTTTGGCGGCCCGCAACGAGGAGGACTACGACGACGGCGTTGAGGAGGAGCTCGCCGAGCAGGACGATACTGATGTTTACATCCTTTCCAAAATCGTAGACATCACACATGCTCTTTTCCAGACGAACAAGGCACAGTTCTTGCCCGCCTTTGAACAGGTGGCTCCGCACTTTGTCAAGCTTCTGGAGCCCAGCCGACCTGTCGCCGATCGTCAGTGGGGCGTTTGCGTATTCGATGATCTGATCGGTAAGTAGGTTGGCATAGTTATCTGAAAATCTTCGTATTTTGTACCATATATGTAATAGTGGAGTGTTTTTAAGCTTTTCCCAAAATTTGTTTTGTACACATTTTGAGTTGACTTTAAATTAACAAACTCTTTCTTCGTTTCTTGGCAGAATTTTGCGGACCTGCTTGCGCTCCTTACCAGCAGATTTTTACGCCAGCTCTGCTGCAGTACGTGGGCGATAAGTCCCCGGAAGTGCGCCAGGCCGCTGCCTACGGATGCGGAGTGCTCGGCCAGTACGCCGGCGAGCAATTCGCACTCACGTGCGCCCAGATCATTCCACTACTGGTGCAGGTCATCAACGATCCCAAGTCCCGCGAAATTGAGAACATCAATGCGACAGAGAATGCGATCTCGGCCTTTGCCAAGATTCTCAAATACAACAAGTCGGCGCTGACCAACGTGGACGAGCTGATCGCAGGATGGTTCTCTTGGCTGCCGGTGTCTGAGGATCCGGAGGAGGCAGCCCACATCTATGGCTACCTGTGCGACCTGATCGAGGGCAACCACCCGGTAATCCTTGGGGCCAACAACTGCAATCTGCCGCGCATCGTCTCCATCATCGCTGAGGCCTTCTGCACCAAAGTGTTGGATGCGCAGAGCGCCACCGGCACACGCATGCTCACCATCGTCAAGCAGGTGGAATCCAATCCGGACGTGATGGCCGCTTGTGCTAGCACCCTCAGCCCAGAGCAGCAACAGGCCCTGCAGGATGCCTATCGGGAGTTGGCAAACGTGCCGAACGCCTAAGGGATCGGAATACCACGCCTCTCCAGACCCAATCCAGTCCCGGCGACCTTGGCAAGGAAGGAAGGATGGAAGCTTCAGCTACTCGTTATCATTATTTTTCATCTGACCGAAATTGTCGTCGCAAATGCATTATAAACTATACGTTAAAAACATACATACACGCATACTTATATTTATGTGTACGATAGAGTTATCCGGGTATATAATTCTATATATATTGTGATTTCAATCAAAAAATCTTCTCCCGAAGACAAAAGTCTGCCCCTCGTTAGAATTTGACATGTTGTATGAATCGGTTCCCAATGCCATCGCAACCACACACAAATTCCAATAGATTATTTTCGTTACTCAATTTTTCATATGTTTATACATATGTGTGTATATTCGGCCCACACGGCCGCCCCTCTCCCTGCAAAAAAAAACAGGATGTGAACCTTGTCCGAATCGAACGAAATGTAATTTTGTGCATTCAAATCAGAGTCCACAAAAATATTTAAAGGAATAACATTTATTGTATTTTAAAAATGATAAAAAGAACGAAATAAATAACACGTAAAACGAAATTTTAATTGAAACCGAGTCTGCGTTTTTTAATTGCTTTCGCACGTATCATAAATACATATCTCAGACCTTTGATGTTCTTCCAGTCGCCAGCATTTCATATAAATATGCGCTTAGTTAAATCCATGGCACGTACACGTTACTTTTATATTTTGTTCAATCAATGCTTATACTCAATTGACGTGGGCGGAATTAATTGATCCTCAAAACCCAAAAAGGTCTTAAGCGAGTTAAATTAATGTTTATAATTCAATTTTTAATTTTGGAACAATTATTGGGTACGGACAGCCACCTTTCTTAGATCCTAAACATTTAAGTTAAAAAAAATATATATATGGGGTTGGGTGATTTTTAATTACTGTTCTTTCTTTAATAATTTTTCACTACTTATAACAAAATTGAACTTGGCGGGAATGTTAGGTAGGGCTTTGGGAAATTGTTTGACATCCTCTGATTTTGGGGATAGCACCTGTTCGGCAGGAAAAACTGCACGATTGGCTTTCCTAAGCGAGGACCTTAGATGATGAGAATATAAAAATAAGAAAGATTTGCCAAGCTATTAGACTCCATCTCAAAAAAAACAAATGGAACATTTAATAATATTCGAATTGCAATGTTTGATTTTTTTATGATATTAAATTCGAACAAGAGTCGTACGACTGTCTGACATACAAATAATGCATTGGTCACCCTGAACATGTATAGGCCTTCTAAACAGCTGATGGCATATTCAAGGAAAATAAGCGAATCAAAACAAAAAGTGTAAAAAACTCTTAACATTCCATGGCTCGAATAAAAAGAATTTAAATACAAGTTGACATAAAAATCAATTCATTTGATAAGCAGGAACAAAGAAATCGTCATATTAAATTGATGACGAAATACTTATTAGAAGAGAACGTGTCCATTAACTTGATGATTTATCTAGTGATGACTTAGTGGGCAAAGTGCATAGATCTGTATCAATCGGACAGACTTTCGCAGCACCTCTCAGTCAGACATAAAACCCAAAGGTGAGTGCAACAGGTGGGCGTGAAAAATCCGCGCGAAGGCGGAGAAGCGGAAGCAATTTCGTTGGCCACAATTCAATTTCGAGCAGCTGCCCCACTCTATTTGGGAGGAAGGAAGATGAAGAGGCTGTCTTCCGACCGATTGTATGACGCATTTTGACCACAAAAGGTGGACATCACTGGCCCTTTTAGTTGACTTTCGTTTCCCGCCACGTCAGGATGAATCTCTGCCAGCAAGTGGGTTTCCATTAAAATCATGAAAAATCAAGATGTATTAAAGGAATATTGTGAAACATTTAATGTGGTCTCCATCATATATCATTTGGACTATTGAAATCCAATGAATTCATAAATAAGTAATTTAAAATCTCTAGAGATTTCGGTAGCTTTTCGCCCATTTTAAAACAATTTAATAAGATTATGAATTCTTACATTACAAAGAAAGTTATCAGGTATTTATACAAATATGTGCATTTTTACATTACGAAGAAAGTTATCAGTTATTTATGGAAATATGTCTTTAAAATTGTTAAAACAATTTTAGAGGTAGGAGTCACTAAATTTACCTCAAAAACATAACAGGGCTTATATCCACTAAAGCTTTCTGCTCATTTCTCAGAATAAAAATGATTTAGAAGAGGTTTAATGTTTGCAGTTGATGACATGCATTTAATAAATATTTTGATTTTCCGGTTAGAAATAACGAAATAACGAAACGAAATAATAGGTTTTAGAATTTATGTTTATCCCCTAGATATTCAAAGCCGTAATGTCGGAGGAGAAGGAATTCCTGGAAGCCTATGCCGGCATCAAAGAAGCCTACAAAGCGGCGATGACCCAGGTTGAGGTGGCCGTCAGCCATGAGGAGCAGGAATCCCAGGGACAGGCCATCGAGGCCTATGAGTTGGCCCTAAATATGATAGAAGACACTTTCGGCATTCCCGTAGGTCTTCCGGATGAGATTGATGCCGTGCAGACCGAGTGGAACGATGCCTGTGCGCTTATACAAAAACTCAAGAGCGCAAAGACGGAAGTCAGCTACCATCTAAAGGTTTTGCGATCCCAGAACCAACCCATTGATGACACAGCCCTGGAGGCCAGAGAGGAAAATCGAACGGAAGTGGATGCAAAGAAACCTTTGCTGGCGGAGAACCCTTCCACGCATTACGACATAGCCAATGCTAGCGGAACACCAAAAACTTACAGAGAGCTAGCTGCAGGATTGAGGGAGCTTTTGGCGGTTCGGGATTCCCATGCCTTGCTGGATGAGCTCTTCAGTGCCCAGGTGAAAATCTACCGAATTGAAGCCAGCGGAACTGTTACATCTATAGGTGGGGCGTCCACTATGTCGCTGGTTATGTGCACCGTGGGTGGTGAGTGGAAGTACCTCAGTGGCATCTACTTCATCCAATGCTCCATGCCGAATGAAGAGACCGGAATGATTTGGCTCTACCCTCTGGTTCCCTCGATCACCAACTGTTATCGCACAGAGTATGGAGCCTTCATCTTCCCTGACATGGAGTGCCAGCAACCGGGAAATGCATTTGGTTTAATGCTGACGAAGGAGGGCCAGCCTTCGCTGAGAACGGAGGAAGATTTGCAGGACCTCCAACAGTTCTTCCTCGACCTATTAGAGGCTGTACTGGCTGGTACGGTGGAGCAGTTGAAATCTCCGACCTCCCAACGTGCTGGTTTTGCTTCAGATTCCGCTTCCGGTTCGGAGCAGGTGTCCAGACACATTGTGGGTGCGGCCGATTTCATTGCTCGAAATCTGGTGAAGGGCGCCGAGAAGACGGGAGGCCTCATGCTCAGGAGTACCCCGTATCTTATTTCCAAGATGACGCCAGCCGCCACCGATGCTCCCACCCAAGTGCCCAGCTCTGTCCAGACTTCAGGTAACATAAGTGCCAAAGATAAAAGAAACATATTAACATATTATTTAACAAGAAAATACGTATTTGCACAGGTATCGAGTTTATTCGCTTTATAACTGATATTTTCACCATTAAGTGAAAAGGATTTAATATTACAAATATTAACTACCTTTTTTAGAAACATTAACTTTCACTAACAAATTGTAATATTGAATAGAAACGATGGTATTTAGACCTCTAATTATAATGAAGCACGTAGACAATTTATTTTTGCACTTTTTATTTTTAATTTAATGACATTTAAAGAATATAGCTTAGTTTTTTTATTTAAAGTCTTTTTTAAGAATCTCAAAATTGCAGTGCGTTGATAAAAAAATGGTTTCAACATAACTTTAAGACCCTAGTTTCAAATAAAAACTATAATTATTTAAAGTATTTGCTAATAACTGATCTAATTCCAACTGTAATATTTGCATATTTATGTAGTTGAAGTGGCTCAGAAGGTGACGCATGCGGCAGCCGGAATGACTGGTTGGATAGCTGGAAAGGTGGGCACTGCTTCGATGGCAGTGGGTCGCTACCTGGCGCCTCACATCCAGGAGCAGGGCTCCAAGCTGCTGCAGAAAGGATTCGGCTACGACAGCAGTGAGGCGAATAGCACTATGGAGGGAGCCTTCACCATCGCAGCCGGAGCCGTCGAAGGTGTCAGCACCGTATTCGATGGCCTTGAGACATCGGCCAAGATCCTCGGTTGCAGCCTGAGCCAAAACTCCGTCAAGATAATTGAACACAAGTAAGTTTATCTGAAGTCAGTAATAATATAGGGCAAGGAAATGCTTACTTCTGTTGCAAAATTTATTTATTTTTGGGGTAAACAATTATTTACTTGAACTCGTTCAAACTATGACATCGTATTACATACATATGTGGTCGAGTCTCTATGCTGAATCGGAGCAGGATAACTAGCGATCGAAAATAAGAGAAAAGTTATTATTTTTCCCCTCTGAGACTTAAGTTTTTAAAAACGCAAAACCATTGAATTTTTTCCAAGTTAGTATGTCAAATTTCTAGTGTTTTTCAAAGGATGCATTGACTTTTACTGTATAGATCCAGATTTCTGTCGTGATTCTTTAAATATTAAAGAAAATAATAAATATCTAGTTAAGAAGAAACAAGAAAGGAAGCAAACTTCAGCAATCCGAAGTTTATATACCCCTGCAGTTATTACAAATCGACTACATTTCGATTTCAATATTACTAAAAACAATGAAGCTATGTCAATTTTGGGCTGCATTTTGCCATGGCAGGTATATGACATTGTTGTCCGATTTTTATTTAATTAAAACCGTAATTTTATAATGTTTAAATATTACCAAATCTCAAAGAACAAAAAAAAATTAAAAACGACAAAGTTATAATTTTTTAAAAAAGCTTTATGATATAGTCGCCCGATCCGGCTCGTTCCGACTTTTATACTACCTGCAATAGAAAGACAACTTTTGGGAAAGTTTCAAGCTTTTTTTCCTTTCTTGTTAACATTATTAATGAAGATAATACCGAATATTTTATTTTCCTTAAAAATATTTTCCTGAAACAATTTTTAACTGTTCATGTTTAATTGCAGATATGGACAGCCGGCGGGAAATCTGGCCAGTGGCACCTTCGACACGGTGGGAAACGTTTTTGTGGTTAGCCAGAACGTAAACTACATTACTCCCAAGGGGATCGCCAAGAAAATGGTCAAACGTACAGGAGAAGCCGTGGTTAGCGACTACAAACGGGACTTGCGTAGATCGGAATCTCACTATATAAATGCAGGAGCACTCTATCCGGATTTACGGGCTTTAAAGGAATGAGGGCCGAAACCAAAGATATAATTCATATATTGTAATCGTCGATACTGACATGATATATATATATGCCACTTGTAGCTTTTTTAGGGGTTCCTTAAAGAAAATCTCATATTTTAATTTTGTTATATATACCTAAAACGGTTACTCTTATGATAAAACCAATTGTTGTGTGATTTCTTTACGAATTCAGAAATGATTTATTATTTGTCAGATAAAGATATTAAATAAAAAAATTAATTTTTTCAAGATTTTAAACGTTTACTTTATTTTAAAAAAAAATTACCAGAAACAATAAACATTTTTTTGAAATCGCCAAATTTACAAATATAAATCTTCTCCTTGAAATTTTCAATACATGCTTATCAAGCATGAAAACTAGTCTCTGCCAATCAGTCACTTTTTTAAATTTAATTTTTCAAGTCATTTATAAGTTCTTCCTTAGTCGGTGACCTAAAATTATTACACTATCTTACACCAAAAATTAACATTAATAAACTTTTCTAAGAAATTTAGGAAAAATAACAGTTTTGAGTTAATTTTGAACCTCAATATAAGGCGAAGGGACTTATGTTTTTCCAATTTGTTACCAACTTGAGATAATACAAGAAAATGTAGGTAGTTCAAACAAAATTTGTATGGGAAATGAGGTACTTGAATTCAATCACCCATAACTCCATTAAATAAAATCTTAAAACTGCTTTCAAAGAAATATTTAAGAACCAATTATTGGCACCGAACCATGTTCTTTAAGAATTGTGAGGACGCTTAAGGTGCCTCACCTTCTTTCACTCTCTCTTACAAACCTTAATCTCAGCCACTGAAGGCGTGAACCTTAACCTCAGCCACTGAAGCGTAAACCTTATGTAGATCTCAAATATACATTTAGTTTTTAAATATGCGCGCACAAGGGTTGCCAGTGTTGGTCAGCAAGATCGGTCAGCTGACCAGTCGGGGCGAGTGCCGATAGTATCGATAAGTTATCGCGATCATCTGTAAATCATCTTTTTTGTGACGCTCTCCAAAAACAGAATTTCAATCCGTGAAGTAACTGTTTTATTAAAGGCAACGGTACGTATGAGTAATACACAGTCACTGCGCACAAAACAACATTTTTTTTCAAAAAAATTCTTCTGGGTTGGATTAAGTGCACCAAACCGCAGAGTATAACCGGAAGGGATACATTATACAAAGCATATTTAAATTAATTAATTGCAAAATGGTTTGTTTCGCAGATATTTTTTTAAAAGCAAATTTTGGAATACGTTTACCTATTTCCACTTATTTTGTGAACTATTTATGCCGAAATTATATGTTCCCAAGAAAACGTGTAAGCTCTAAACAAATTAATTAATTAATTAATTAATTAACGTTTTGATGGGAATTTATAAGAAAACTGCATTTGACAAATTCTCCAAACATTTTTTTAATATCACGGCTTGAATAATTTCTTATGCGCACAAATCAAATTTACCAGAATATAGAGCCTCCAGTTGACTTAGTCCTCCAGTTGACTACAAAACTTCTTGAATGTAGATTGCCCAGCCCTGGCAGCCACTTTCTTCTCACTTTTCACTTTGCACTGTTGCTGCAGGGTGGATATTTTGGGGAAAGTGGCTGTCAAAAAGCTTGCAGCCACTCAAATGCATTCAGCGAGTGCGTCCCGTACAGTGAGCACTATTCCAATATATTTGGCCTATAAAATGTCAACACTTTACTTGCAATCAATGTTAATTAGCAAGGATTTGCCATTTTGGCCCATAGTACAGGAAAAATGCTAACTGCAAGGTGCGTATGTATTGTATTCTATTTTATAACTGTAAAGCTTAAAAACACATACATATATATAGATTTTTAAGTACATTTGCTAATATATATATATAAAAAATAGGGATTAATTACCCCGTGGAGTCGAAATCCAAATCCTCTAGCAGGCAGAGGAGGCAGATGATCCGAAGATCAGATGATTAGCAGCTTGGATTCGGCCGCCAAAGAGGCTTCAGGCAAGTGGTCTCCAGGACTCCGTTGTTCGCCGCCTTCAGATCGAACGGCGTCGAGGATATGGCGAACCGGCGGCTCACGACGTCTCGAAGCACGCGGATATCGTCGCGCACGCGCCTCTTGGCACTGCCAGGAAAGTGGCTCGTCTCAGTCCAGGCCAGCTCCAGCTCCTGGTGAGCATTGTGCTCCCGGAATGTCCGCGGCGACGATTTTGGCCAGGTGGTTCATGTCTGCCACCACCGGATAGCCACTGTGGCCATGAAGCAAGGCGTTGTTGGCGCATTCGTCCACTATTATTGCTATCAAATGCTTCTCCAGCTCCAATGATTTGATGAGCTCCGGTTCCTGCTCAAACTAAGCCATGATCTGCATGGCCGTAAATGCATTTTGTTTTTATATAGATCCGTCATCCACCGTGTGTCCCAGCGTTGGCTGGGTACATCAATTGTTTAAATAATAGTTTAATTATTGGAAATTAATAAGACTAGGTACCCACCCCAGTCAGGTTTATCAGGTCTACCATCAAGTAGAAACGCCTGCCGTGATCCTTTAACTGTTTTAGGCCGTCCAGGTGTTTACGGATTCCGCTTTGCCGGAGTTGGGAGGTGCTTGTCCACCTGGGCGCGCAGGTGGGGCATGTAAAAATATTTAAGCCTCATAATATCATAGAGTATGAAACTGTATAGAGGTTTCATTTGCTCTGGTTGCAGCAAGGTCGAAGAGACACAGATAAGTCGAAAATAATATAAATTTAAAATATAATTAGAAATAGATAATTACTTTGAAGCTAATATTAATTGTTTCTTTATTTAGCTTGCTATTCCAAGCAATTTTCAGTTCAGGAAAAAATCGAAAACCAGGATAATGGAATCGGAAAATGTGTAAGTAGCGTCAACAAAAATAAGTGCTTTGTATTGTTTGTATGTGTGTGACGCTTGTTGTCAGATTTCGTCTTCTTGTTTTCATTTCTTTGCGCGCCAATTCAATAACAGAAAAAAATTTGAAGACTTTGATTTCAAAATTCAATACAAACAGAATTTAGTTCTTTTTATTATTTTTTAATTACTTATATAATTTTTTTTTATTTATTTTTTGTTTTTATTTATTTTTTTTTAAATTTATTTTTTTATTTTTTTTTTGTATTTATTTATTTATTTTTATACCCTTGCAGAGGGTATTATAATTTTGGTCAGAAGTTTGTAACGCAGTGAAGGAGACGTTTCCGACCCTATAAAGTATAATATTCTTGATCAGGATCAATAGGGGAGTCGATATAGCCATGTCCGTCTGTCCGTCTGTCCGTCCGTCCGTCTGTCCGTCTGTCCGTCTGTTTCAATACCGTTTGCGATCTCAGTTTAAAAGCTAGCGATCTGAAACTTTCACAGTCGTCCTAAAACAAGTGTACGCAGATCAAGTTTGAAAACCGCCCCGATCGGATGTCTATATCCTATAGCTCCCATAGGAACAATCGGATATAACTTGCAAGAATGGAAGATATTTCGCGCAGTGTAAAAGCTATTGACATAAATCTTTCCAAATCTTATTTTTTTATGCGTACCTTGATCAGAGTAAAAGCGCGTGACGATCGGACGTCTATATCCTATAGCTCCCATAGGAACAAAAGGGTAAAATCGGTTAAAATTTAATGATTTTTAGGATATTTCACGCAGTATACAAGCTATTGACATGAATCTTTCCAAATCCTATTTTTTATGCATACATTGATCAAGGTGAAAGCGCGTGCCGATCGGACGTCTATATCCTATAGCTCCCATAGGAACAATAGGGTGAAATCGGTCCAAATTTGATGATTATCAGAATATTTCGCGCAGTGTATAAGCTACTAACATAAAATTTTCCAATTCTTATTTATTTACGCATATCTTGATTAGGGTAAAAGCGCTTGCCGCTCGGAAGTCTATATCTTAAAGGAGATAGGAAAAATTGTTAAAGGCTGCGAAAGTATCCCTATTTTTCTATTTGTATATGACATTTTTGCAGTATAAAAGCAATTGACTTGAAACGATGCAAATCTAGTTTACTTATGTATACCTTATTCCTTTCGCTACTTTTTCACTTTTAGCAATTTGTCAAAGTCTGCAAGGGTATTAAAACTTCGGCTTGCCGAAGTTAGCTTCCGTCCTCGTTTTATTTGTTTATTTCAGGTTGAAGAAGTGCATAGTTAACAACTGTGCGGGGCATTTCAATGCCTTTTGTTTCCCGAAGGAGGGAAACAAGTCTAAATGGTTGAAAAACCTTAGATTAAGCCACGTAACCAAGCGTTCTCGGGTGTGCCAAGCACACTTCAGGCCGGAATGCTTCTCAGGAGGAATTCTGAGGAAGGGAAGTGTTCCGACCGAAATGTTGGGTGAGTATTTATTCCATTTTTTAGTTTTTAAGTTAAGTTATCTAATTATATTTATTTATATTTATGTAATTTATGTATATTTATGTAACTTTACTAATTTTTTTTTATTATTATTATTATTTAGGTTATAGGTCAGTGCATGAACCCATGTTCAGCCCTTGGCAAAAAACTAAGCACTTAATGTATGGAATTAAGGCTTGTCGTAGTAATGAAGGCCTAATAGGGCTAAATGTAGAATCCGTTAGGGAATTCTTTGAAACCAAAAAAATTTTTAAAAAGGAAAAAGAAAATATTTTGTTGTGTGAGCAGAAATCAGAATTCAACACAAGACAATTCGACAAGCCTTAATAAATTAAATACTTAAGATGGATTGAGCTCTCCTAATTATTTAGAATCCAAAGGACTGAGCTCTCCTGTTTTTATAAATGTACCAGAAAAAGGATTGAGCTCTCCTCCTATTTTGGAATCAAAAGAATTGAGCTCTCCGAACTATGTATTAAAAAAAGGATTGAGCTCTCCGAATAATTTGGAATCCCAAGGATTGAGCTCTCCTAAATATTTATTAAAAAAAGGATTGAGGTCTCCTGTTTATACTAAATGTAAACCACAAACCAAGCTCTCCTAGCTTTTCTTGGATAAAAGCTAATTTAATTATAAAGTGTTTAAAACGAAATAATAAAGTTTTAAAAGGCGAAAACAAAAAGTTGGTAAAGGGACAACATTGTTTAAGATCTCTTAATATTTCGTTAAAAAAATAAATTTCTAAAGAAAATCGCTCAAACGAAATATTAATTCAAAAATATATTGAATTGGAGCAATGCAATTTGGTTTTAGAAATGCAAAATGATGCTCTCTCTAAAAGAAATTTGGCCGTTTGTAACAAAAACGACGCATTAGAAAGCCGCAATTATGATTTAATTTTGGAAACAATGCTGTTCCAAGAAAAATCATCAATGCTTCAGGTGAAAATGAATTCTTTGCTTTCACAAATATTGGAGCTAAAAGAAAAAAATAAAAAATTTGCAGAGGAAGTCGAAAGCGCTGGTCGCCTTAAACTTTTAACTTGATTTGAAGATTTTGAAATTTTAAAAAGCAAATTTTTTGAATGCTCCAATTTGTGCGGAATTAAAATTCAAAGCAAAGAAAATGCCGCAGGAATGAATGAAAATGTCATAACATTCCAGAGTATCATTTCACAGAAAAAGGAAATTCATTGCACCGATTCAGAAAAACGGCTATGAATATATTTATGATTTTGTTCATTTGTTCAATATTACTCTATGTTTGAACAACGGCGCCAAAACTGTATGACCACTTTGGAGAAAACGCAGAAAGTTCCGTAAAATCAAGACTGTCGGCGATGCCACCCTCAAGACCCTCCCCGTCCCGGCGTTGCCAGACTCCGCATGCCAGCATTGCCAGTTTTAATACAAATTTGTGTGACCATTTTTCAAAGTTCGAATGTCGATATTTTTTTGAGGTGAATAAACATCGATGACATCCGATGCTAGCATCGATGTTTCTCCACCTCTAAAATAAAAAATAAATAATTGAAAATTAGCCGCCGAACCGATCGGACGTGTGTCGCGCTTGTTCGCCTTTTCGTGATTTCGCCCCATGGCACGGTAAATAAATAACACAAGAAAAGTTATCAAAACTGTGGTGAACCCAGAGCCTTGTATTTATTTTTCCGTACAAAGTACCGTGTTTTAAATTACAATACACTGATATCGGTGTGAAAAAGGTGCACCTGTGCAGTGTAAAATTGTGAATTCAGTTGCGGTCTAATTATTGCGTGTGTGGGTGTGGGGGTGTGTGTATGTGAGTTAGTGCAATTTTAATTTTAGTTTTGACGAAATATTTAAACGAAAAAGTGAATAATATTTAGCGATTTAAGTTGTTGCTCATACGACACAAAAAAAATATAGTTTTTCTTGCTTAAAAATACCAGTTTAAACAACTACCAACTGCCATAAACGGCCAACAGCAAAAGCAACAACAATAACAACAACAACAACAGTTCTAACAACAGTACACAAACAAACACGTTTTCCGTTTTATTTTTCTGCTCCGCGTTTGCTGGTGTGTGTGGGTGTGAAGCTGTGTGTGAGGGTGTGTGTGTGTACGTGTTGCTCGTCTGAGTATAGAAATTTCTAATGATTTTTGGTTGTGTTTCCGAAGAGCAGCTCCAAACAACAACATCAACTATTGGACTCCGCAGTGCCTGTTTTATAATTTGCATATATAATTTTATTTTCGCCCAAAACAACTGCACTTGCAGAAATAATACAATTATTAAAAAGCAACTGCAATATCAACGATCCCAGCTTTGAATTTGGTTGGTGAGTATTTTGCCGTTTACGGAAACCTATTAAAAAAAATATGTGACAAAACTTGAAGTTGTTAATAATAATTTTCCAATTTAAATTTCAACTTTCAAATATTTTTATTTACAACTTTAACATTAGATAAGGGGTTTTCTTTTTAAATATATCTTTTAAAAAAGGTATTTAAAGAGGAACAGGTGGTTTTGAGTGAAACAAAAAAAGATCAGTACGTCACGGGTCCGATCGACTTAAAATTAATAATAAGTTTTGTGCTGGATCTTCTTAATGTTTTACAAAAATATTTATTTAACATTTTTACGCTCTCGACATATGTTTCGATGGTTTGTCTTATTTTTAATTTTTCCAATATTTTCACTTTGCTTACCAAAATTTCTCACCACTCAAACTTGCAGCATTAAGGCGCCTAGTCATTTATTTGATATCATCATTATCGTCATCACCTGAGCTACAGGTTTTTAGCTAATAAGGTAATGGGAAAAAAGACGAAGAAAAAATTGCTAAATTATAATCGAAAGAAAAAATCCATCATTGGAAAGTTGATTTGATTGCATTTGCGGAATGCAGTTGCCAGGGTTGCCTAGTTGTGCGACAGGCCGACGCATTTTTCGCTAGCCGTGCACTTGGCTAATATTTCAGGCTTCATGCTTCATTTGCCTTTAGAGCGGTTCAAGTCAACTTTCGGATCAAAGTCATTCGAAAGGGCTGGAATGAATTATATACGCGTCGACACACTCTAAGCTCAGCTATGTAGAGTTTCATTCATATCTCGAGTATTTTTTATTAAACAATTTTTATTATTAAGCAAGTATATTTTCGAAAAAAGTAATTTTTATTACACATTATTTAAAGCATAAAATTGATTGATTTTAGGGCAAGTTTCTTAGGGATTTTTTTTTGAGTGGGGTGTAACCACACAAACTTTCCACCGTCTTTTACTTGTACCACCCACAATAGTCGTAATAAATCGCTCCAGGTGACAGTGGTTGCTAACTTTTTGCAGCAATTGGCAGGGCAGGCGGAAAATGTTGGGTAGAAGCAGAGACGCGTGGGGACATTACACAATTATCCAAAACATTTCCCCCAGCAAATGCAATTTTTTCAGGCCGTTCACATGAAAATCAATTCCTTCCTCCCTCTATCCAACCCCTATTACACGAAAACAAATTTTTGTTATTATCGAAGACTAATTATAATTAATTAATTTATTAATTATAATAATTATAGTTAGTAATAATAACTAATTAATTTATTAACAATAACAATTAAAGTTAATAAATGTATTATAATTAATAAATAAAAAAATTATAATTTTAAAAATGTATTTAAATAAATAAAATATTTGAACACTTTCCTTCGAGCTTTTTCATTAATTATTTCAACCCGCATAAAACAAAATGTATTATATTTTCTTGACATAATCTTTGGGATAACCTATTTAGCATACATTGTTTTGCATTGTTGTTATTCCCATTAAGTGAATAAGGGATAAATAAAAACTAGAGACAAATATTATTACAAAATCAATAAAAAATTTGTATCTTTCTAAGTGTATTTCCCTCATTCCTTGCCCGTTGGTTGTTTTCATTGCCGTCTGTTTTTCGCCGTCATCCGCTGCTGCTGTTTTGTTTATGCTTTTCCCATCTTATTGTTTTTGCGCGCCCCGTGCGTCAATTTATGTGAGTTCAGTTCGCCTGCAAGACGGAAGCACTTCTTAATGATACAAATAATAGTAGCTGTAGCGGCAGCTGGAAAAACTGAAGAAAAAAGGGTGTCCCGGTCGTTTTTTGCATTTTCACTCGCCACCCCTGAAAACTCTCCGTGGAAAATTGGCGCCTCCGCAACTGCCCAAATGCCGCTGCTCAAAACTTGTTTGCCGCATAATTTCCAAAGTTGCAATTTTCATTTTTTATGGCCATTTGTCTTGGAGTTGCTTTTTGTCTGTTTTATTTTTTATTTTTCAGTTGAAAGTGTTTGCAATGCCTGTTGGGGCACATTTGGAGCTGCCCGGTTTTGTTTTTTTTTTGCCTTGCTCATTTTGTTAGCCGTTGAGGTAATCTGAGTTACGTAGAGAAAATTTTTTCATTTTTGGTTACTCCTTAGGTTTGTCCCTTCTCAGTCCGCTTTTCGTTACAAATTTACGGATATTGTTTACTATATTATTTTTAATTTCTCCAAAATAACATTGTATTTTTAAGTAATATCTCTTAAATAAACTTTATATGCTCATATTTAAAGTTAATGTGTTGGTAAAGGTGATCTCTCTGGCTTTATTCTACTTTTTAAAGAACACAAAGCTCGCCTTTCAGATTTAAAATTTTAAGCCAGTTTATGATTGATACTAAAGCGCAACTCTTCCCTTTCTGGGAGCCGGTACATTGTATCTGATTTCATAACCATTTCTGGTTTAGTCCGGCTCTTTCATAATCTACCAAAAGCACTTGTCACTGCCATCTGCTGCTGGCAACTTCCACTTGGCTACCCATATGGGCCCAGTTTGGGTATGCAGCTTACCTGTCCCACCACCAAATACAAGTGACACTTGTGCAATTATTGTACAAAATGTTATTGTCCACTCTTGAAAGCAAGTGTGTGTGTATAGTAGAACCCTCTTGGACAGGTTGATTACTGTAACGAATGGTTTTATTTTATGCCCACTTCTTCACGTCTACCTTTGCCGACGTCGCTCTGAAACAATGGCGGGTATTTAGTGAAAATGCTCTGTGCGGAGCGGTGGCAGAGCTAGCTTATTAACTTACCTGTTATTTCAACCATTTTCATTTTTCACACGCACGCAGGTCTGGAAAATGGAAAATGCACTAGCCTGCGGATTAGTTCGCCCAGGCTTGGATTTCTTTGTCTGTCCCGCTTTCCCGCTCCTGCTTTTCTCAATGAGCGGAAATGCCGCAGGGGGTGATTTCTTTTCAGGTGTATGTACCGGAAAAAAAATTTGTGAACTTTTATTACCATATGTAATACAATTTTTTAATTTTTATCCATAGTAAAATAAAACACTTTTTAAAATGTTCCACTAAAGTTATAGAGTCTTGGTACTTCATTATTTTATTGGTTAATAAACACAATTTTAAATATATTCAAACAATACCATATTTTTCTGATGTGTACCCTGTATTTCCAAACTAAAACCAGGGCCTAAAAAAGGGAACTTCTTATTTTCGGTCCCTACTGATTTTATTATTTAGGACGTACATAATTTGGGCGAGGTCTTTCCTATCAGATTCTAGTAAATTGATGGCGCCCGATGAGTATTTATTAGTTCGTTTTCGTGAGTTTACTCTATAATTAAAATGCAACCCGATTGTTAAGTTGGGTCTAGGTTGATCGCAACTGCGGCTGCTTATCATTAAAGCGCGATTAGTTTCGAAGCTTGATTTAATGAATCGCCTTGAGAAAAGAGATTTGTTGGATTTTTAATGAGTTGGACTGTGTTAATTTGAAATCAGAGCGCAGATCGTAGTATTAGCGTCTGCAGACATTAACATTTTTGGAAAGATATTCCCCAATCGCAAATCACAATGAAGCAAAGTGAGTTTTTGGTGCATAAATATTAATTCAATTACTTTTAAATTCCCACAACGGATTCCACTAATTGAACATTTCAATTACATAATCATTTCTCTTATCGACTCTCTTTGGGGAGACAATTGTCAAACATGGTTGGCTTTAATTTCAGCAGCCACCCACTCAAAGGATACATTCCTAGCATATATATGTGTAAAACTGTATATAGCAACTTATATAAAAGTATATATGGAATACAAACTGTTGACCTAGCTCCAAGAGCACTGGCAGAATTAATTGCCACAGGCATTTGTTGTGTGTATAACGCGCAAAAGTTGAGAGTTTTGGATCATATACATGCGCTTTTACATACTCATTCTGTTAACGCCTAACATTTGCATGCTAACCGTGATTTTATTGCGTGAAATTTCACTAAAATGAATATTACTTTATGGGCACTTTATTTAGTGGGCATAAATAGGCGAATAAGTGTTTTAACACATCGTGACTAACTTTGTTGCAAGCATTATTCTTCGCCACTGCTGTATAATAAATACAGATTAAAATTTTAAAGAGCATGGTTTAATTGACTATAAATAAAGGTAAAATCAAAGCTTCAACCCAACAGCTCGTCATCTTACATTTTTTGTGGCAGGATGTGTTTCGATTTATGAAAGTTTTACATGGTTGCATGGAATTTTCTGGTCGAGCCACCCTTGGCAACCAAAACAACCTACCCCAACCCCACCTCTGTTAGCCCTTAACAGCCGCCTGTTAACTTGGAAATGGGGGGTGGGAAACAACAGCTGTTCCCAGCTTGGGGGCGTCGCTCCCGAAGCCGAAAACGAGTGCAATGAAGTTATGTGCCCACTCTCGGCCCCACACCCTCCAACTTTTACAGGCTGCCATTGCAACAGAGTCGACAGCTTGTGACCTATATAAAATTGAATATGTGTATAGCATATAGGTACCGCTATACATATATACCTACAGATATTGCAAACTTTTAGGAGCCTAACAAATGTCCCAAGTATGTATGGAAATGGCTTTCCATGTTCCTGTGTGCCCAACTTCAGGTCGAGAATCCGTCGGCTTGGGGGCCTTATCAGTTGGCACGAATGCTTTCCGCCCCGGAAAATGGCTCAGTTCTTTTTGTGGACTTAACGCGTCAAGTTGGGCTCAGGAATATGTGTCGGTTCTGTGCGGGATAAATGAGGGAAAACTCGTGAATTTTTAATACGCCGGGCATAAAACCAGGCTGAATTCGGGTAAAAAACAAAATAAATGTGAGAAGATATAAAGAAGAGGGGTGTATGAAAGCTCGTCAAAGGTAGATACATTTCCCCTTTAAAACTTAAGTAAATATTTAGTCTTTCCTTGCCAGGCCCTGTCTGGGGTTATCTGTGTTTACTGCCCTACCTTTGTTTCTGCGATCTCATTTAAATATTGCAATTATTCACACCTCTTAACCTTCA